TAATAATAATAATAGTAGTAATAATAATAATAACAATAACAATAATAATAATAATAATAATAATAATAATAATAATAATAATAATAATAATAATAATAATAATAATAATAATAAGGCAAAATTATTGCTAGTAATAATAAATTATGCAAATTATTCATTTAGCTGGTATTTACAAATAATTATTTAGCGGAAATTTACAAATTAATTGTTTATTCAAAATTTCACCACTGGTTGACGAATCTCCTTGCCATTTGTTGTTGAAATGAAATTTATTTTAATGAACTTGTTTTCTTTCTTTTATTCCTTTTTTTTTAAATATGCATAAGTGTGTATGTATGATTTGATAGTCTGTGAAGGAAAATTATTTGATAGAAGTGGATGAAAATAAAATTATAGAAGACTTAATTTCGCTTTTCATCCACTCACATGTTTTCCATAAAGCATTTGATTGATGATCATATATATATATATATATATATATATATACATATATATGCATATCATTGTCACCAACTGCTCAAACTGTTATTGGAAGAGGGAATTTTAAATTTAATCAAGGAAAAAATGGAAAAAAAGGGAGTGGAATAAACATGTTTTGTGTTATTTATGTTGAACAAGTTTCAATAAGTAAAAAAAATAATATTCATTAAATATGTATTACTAAATACCTGTTACTCTAACATACATATTACGAAGAAAGAGGGGGGAAAGAATGGAAGAATTAAATTTTTCATCTGAAAAAAAAATAACAAAAACAGAAGGAGAAGAAAAAATGATTTTTTTATAAATTTTTAAGGAAAAGAAATACGAAAAAAGCAAACAGTAACATTTGCATAATTTGCATATTGGTTAATTATTAATGACACTAATAATAATAATAATGAAAAAATTTTTAAATTTAATAAATCAGTTTTTTTTTGAATAATAAAAATTTTGGATCTGTAAAGAATAATATTAAAGTATAGAAGATAAATATTTTTGGTACAATATTTAAGACTAGAAAAATTCTTCTTATTTTTTTTTTATTAAGTTTTACTTTCGTTTTTTTTNTTTTTTTTTTTTTATTAATAAATATTTGAACAAAATAGCAGCGCAAAAGCGAAATGTTTTTAATGATAAATGTTTGAAAATGTAAAAGTAATAATTTTCTCATTGTATCGTTTAATTTTTTTTTTTTACTCCAAAATTAATTTACTGTTTATCGTAAAATTTGGTATTATATAGCAGTTTGTATCAAACTGAAATGAAATTAAAATTTCAGTTGTCAATTATTACAATTAATTACAACTAATAATGTGATATCTAATTAGGAAAGTGTTTGGAATTTTTGAGAAATTTAATTTTTAGAAAATAACTTTTCTTTTCCTTTTTTTTTGCGCACCTTAGCATTAATATAACAATTGATTTACATATTTGAATACTTTATTATTAATTCATAATTGTTTATTTGCGATTCTATTTTACTGTTTTAAAACTAGTGCAAAATCAGTTATTATCTTTTACTGTATAAGCGATTAAATTTTAGCAATGATTTATTTTATTTATGTAAATTTTCTTTTTTAACGAAACTAGTGTATTTAATGAATTTGTAAATTAATTAATTTTGAAAACCAGGTATTAATTAATTTTGAAAACCAAGTACTTAATTATTGTTTTTTTTTTGCGATTAAAACTTACATAAATGGTAAAATATTATCTTACAAGAAAAAAAAAATGACACATAATTCATATTTAACAAAATTTTAGAAGTATTATTGCTAATAATAATGAAGCAATTCAGCCATTTCATCATCATTTATTATTGCTATAATTAATTATACCATTAATACAATCATTATTATTGATTATTAATTAGCTGTAATTATTATTATCGATGATTTCATCATCATCATCATCATCATCATCATCATCATCCTGAATGCTATCATACCATCAATTAGTATAATATTTTTACTTCTTTTTTTTTCTTTTTTTTGACATTAAAATGTAATACATCGTTCACTGTCAATTCTTTTAGTTTAAAACTTTGAAAAGTTTCATTTTTCAAATTCCACACCCAAATTTACTAAAAAAGAAATCAAAATACTTGTTTCATTTCATTTCTTCCATCTTATCACTTTTTCTTTTTTCGTTATCACAACGATTACCTACATTGGTTTATATTGTTACTATTTCTTTTTTTTTTATCACTCATTACAAATTATCATCAATAATCATCATTAGCTATACAATGCTAATTTATCAATCATCACAGTCCTCAATTAATTAAATCATTATCATGATAACTTTTACATAAAACTATTATGATAATGATTAATTAATATGGATTATATGATGAATTGAATTATTTAATTACTTCAATTTTCAATTTCCTTTATTTAAAAAAATAAAAAGGAAAAAAATATAATTTTTTTAGTGTCACTTTTTTTTTTTGAAATATTTATTGAAATTTTTTTTTATAAAAAAAAAATTAAAAAGTATAAGGATGAAATTATTATTATCAAATACATATAATTTTTTCTAAACTTATATTTTATCATTAAAAAAATACTATTAATTTTCCAATGAGTAAAATTATCTTTCTTTTTTTCTTTCTTCCTCCTTTTTCCAAATCATATTTTTAAAAAATTTTAATAGTAAAAAAGAAAAAAAAAAGAAAAGTGAGGTAAGAGAAAGTTAGAGTTATGTTATCAATAAGTTCCAAAATA